TATTGTTCTTGCCACTCGAACATAAAATTCATATCTTCTCGCCACCGTGTAATATCCTCTATATATGTGCGAGAGTCGCCTTCTTGGATAAAGTAACTGCTTTCCATATACTCGGTTTCTAACTCAAGCATTTTAATATAATTTTCAGCTCATTGTTCCACGGCACTGGTGTTGAAGCTTTTCTAGGAAAATTAAACGACGAGTTTTTGCTGGTACTCTGAATTGTTGTGGAGCCCCAAAGTCACTGAGAGTTACTTTCTTAAGAGACTGCTTGGTCTTTGAAATATCATATGACCAAAAAATGTCCAGAAATGCCGTTAGAATAAAGTTCAATCTATTTGCTGATTATGTAGAATGAGAAATTCTTACTTACCTTTAAGAAGGCTTTTTCCATTGCCCTGCCTCTCTTATCTGTCTCCGCATACTTCAACATAGTGACTGTATCTAAATGTCTCACCYGRGAAGAAGGAATTAAGGCGGATTGCARCGTTCAGCATCGATTATCCTGTTTGTCGGTTGCTACAAAAGATTACTACAGTACAGTTCTGAAATGTCCCAAGTGGTGAGCACCACAGAGCCCAGCGATGCTTGAATCAAACCGTTAGAAGGAATGTTGCCACATTGTGAAGCGAACTTTCAGTCTTAAAGCTTCAAGAAACTCAGATTCACGTGAAATGAAATGCTCAATGTTTAAATAAAACTTGCTGTATCCTTTTAAAGCTTCGCTCGCATTGCTAAAAGTCGGCAAACCTGACGCGAAGTGGATACAGCTCAAACTGAACTAAACGTTGGTTGAGAAATTTGAAAATGAAATTTGGCTAAGGTGCGCATGGACAAAGGAAACTGCGTCGTTAAGTTTGAAGTTCATTATTAAATGTGTGAATTTCTCGCGCATAGCAAGGAATTAATAATAAGTTTTGTAACGTATCGAATCAGCGCGTTTAAGTTTTCATTGCATCATTTACATAACAGGCAAAGTATTACTTCAGAGACCACTGATTGTCTCTTAATTCCCTTGGCGTTAGTTTCTAAACATACTGGTGCATTTTTCATCTCGCTTTTGACCGCATTACGTTGTGTTGACTTTAAAAGCGCGGGAAAACGGGGCTTTGGATCCGTGGGGTTGCCACAAGTGTTAGACTCACGTGGTCGCGTACGAAGATCCCGCGAAGCCACGAAATCAAATCGCTCTACATTCGGCCAAAGCGATTTGATGGACCACGAAACAAGGAGACAGACACTTTCTTAACTACGATTAAGCGGTTAAATCTGATTTGAATATTGAAACCATTAATAATTTGAGAGCCCTGACTTCCAACGGGTTTTCCAAAAGACTATTTTAAGACACGAGGTACATAAAAATAATTTTTAATGCCATGATCCACGCAAAATTCGATCAATCCCAATCAATGGGTGATCGAACACTCCCTAAACGCTTTCCTCATATCCTCGGAAATCGACGGGCGTTTCCGACTTGACCATCTGTTCGGATGTCGTAACACCGAAGATCATGGTCCTTTGTTGATTATTCTGTCATTCAAGAGTCGTTATCCTTCGGTTTCCGAGAGTACTAAGAAGGCCGGAAACCTCTCAATGCCTAATTGTAAAACCCACAAAAACTATTGTTTACTTAAAATACGATACTCTATAACATTTCAGAAATATCAACAATACTGTAAATCTTGCATATGAATACACGAGTTGCGTTCAGAGGGTGCGCACGTTTGATTATTTTTGTTTCCTTGTAATTTAA